AGAAGCATACAACATACTGAGAATATTTAAAAGTCTGTCAGTGATCTGGGAAATGTTATAACCTCTTCAAGTATAAAATCTCCAAAAGATATAATAACCATGGGAGATATACAGAATGTAGCAGAAAACTCATTCATACAAAGAAATCTGGTTAGTATAGTTAGTATAGTGCAAAACGTAGTATGATTAGGTTTTGTTAAATTACAAGGCTTGAATCTCAGAAGAAAGAAAACAGGCCAAATTTGCAGGTTGGAGCACCTGTAAACCAGTAACTTTGTGAAGGACTCATTGGTCAAGGATGAGCCTATTGATCCAAAACTAGCTCTGCAAGGCAGCAGCCAAGATAACTTAAGCAATCTTCAGATTTGTATACAGATTGTTCCTGTATAACAGGAAGCAATCCATTATGTTATGCTTGTATTTGATTGTATTTGACATGTATTCAAAAAAAACATGAAGTCCATTGGGTGTCCACAATTAAATAAAAATAGTGACTTGTAAATGTCTGTTAGAGAAGATTCACATATTTAAGAACTGAAAAAAAAACCCAAAGAATTTTATTACACAAAGTTAAGGGAAAATTTGAACACAGTCTCAAAGCTTCAACACAGAGAATGGAAGATTAATTGCAAGATTTTATTTAATTTAGAAAACATGGCTAGAAGTCATCCATTAAAAAATAAATTTTCAGTGATATTAAAAGTATATTTTATCAAGAAAGATCTTCCTGATAAACAAATTAAATCATAGCATATTCTCAACTGTTTTCAACCATTTAGAAAAAAACATCCAATCTTGATTTAAAAAATTTCAATACACAGATAATTTTTGACAAAAAATACTGTGACCTGTGCTATAGGTCACAGTAGTCTCTTCTGCCAATCAAATCTATCTATCTACTAATTTCACAGAACATAAAAGAAATTGGTGACAGCAACACTGGTAAGAAATCCAACTCTTGGGTTACAGTGTTTAGAAATTTTGTCAGTAGCCTTTCTCACTCAAAAAGAAAAATCAAAACAGTTTAGTGATCTTATTTTGTGCATATATATATATATATATATATATATATATACATATATTTAATTTTGTAGTATTCACTATGGTCTCTTGAAAAATCAGATTAGATTTACACTTGAAAAACAAGTCTGAAGTTTTACACCTAACCATAAAAGTTACCTCTCAGAGAAATGACATAATTCTTGTAAGGTAGAACAGTGTAAACTATAAGAATGTAAGCCTACAACACCAGGCATTTATCAAGCCCTTCCTAGCCTAGACTGAGAAAAACACAGAGTGCATTGAGTCAGCTTTTTCACAGCTCTGTGATCTTGCAGGGGAATGAAAGATAAAGAGAAGAAAAAAAGGCATCACTAAAGACAGGGTGTAGGCTTAAAAACCAAGAAAAACAAAATAATTTGCCGGACACTTTCAACTACACTTCCACTACATTTGAGGTCCAAAGCCTGGATAGTCCATTTACCTTTTCCTTTCTAATACAAATGCCTTCTCAGTCACCTCCTCCTCCCACCTCCTGCAAGTTAGGGGATTTGCTGCTGTCACAGACTTCACTCCACTTGCGTAATGGCCTCTTCCCCTGGGATGTACCCATCTTTTCTATTTAAAGCATGCTTTCACTCTTCCTCAGCATACTATACAGAGCCTAGGACAAGGTGAATTTACTCCTTAGACTTGTTTTTATTTATATATATTAATAATAGATAGTATATGCATACACACACACACACACACACACACACACACACACACACAGAGAAATTGCTACACCCAGGAGTTTTGCTAACATGTATTCACCTATACTTGTCTTCATGGAATCATAAGTCTAGCAAGGATTACTGGAGTGTGGCACACACTCCTCATGCTGCCTCCTATCCTCAAAATGCAAGAGATGCCATTGATTAAGAGCTGGAAAATACTTATTTACAACTGATTTATTCTGCTTCAGTCTCACAAAATTCTAGGATGAGAATGGGATATGATTTGGATTTGGCACCTGATCTGGTTATATTTTTCAGTTTGACAACTATAGGTAGGACCCTTCTCGTGAGAAACCAGACTTAATATATTAATTCTTGACAGGGAGTGGAATAAAGATTAATAGTTTTAATTCCAGTCAAGTCTTTTTGGGTACACGGGATGACTTGTCCCAGAGATGAGTCAGAACAGCATGGAAGGATGCTGATGGTTATACAATTTTAGTTTTCCTGGCTTCAAGGACATGTTTTGAAAGCAACACTCTGGGATCCACAGCCAAATAAAAAGTGTTCTTGTCTCTGGCACTTATTCCTTTTTCATCTTTCCATGACCCTTTATCTGAAGCATCTTGGCTTATATGACAGAACCACAAAACTCTTCTACATCTCTTTCCCTTCCATCCCCCTCTCTCTCATGGCCATGATCCTTACTCCACTGTCCACTTCCAGCAACACCATCTACTTCCAGTCTTCTCAAATGAAGGGGCTACATGAGGACCCATCTTCTTTCATAATCATCTTGGTACTACTTCCCAGATTCAGCTTGTTCCCTTAATAGTATGGGACATGATTCCTTCTCAGAATTTCCTGGGTAACATAAAGGCAACTTTCTTGACCCTGTTCCAGCGAATCCAACAAAACTGATAAATAACTCTTACAAGAAAAAGAAAAAAAAAATCCTTCCAATCCACACAGCCCCTGAACTCAATCTCACCAGAATTTTTAAGGGGGAAAAAAAAGTAAAAAACATCAGCGTCATGAACAATCTATTGTGGAAAATTAAGCCTTGAATAGACTTTCAAAATTCAAACTTTGGAAACTAAAACACTATCTTATTTAGTAGTGGTAAAGTACCTTCATGACACATGACACTAACAGAAAACTGACAAAACATGATATTATTAACCTTAATAGAAAACTGACAAAACAAACAGGTAAATAACAATAAAAGATACATACCTTGCTTATAAAATGCATATATTTTTAGTTTCAGGTCTTGTCTGTTGGAAAAACTGTACATGACAAATTATGAAATCTGTTGATATTTTACAGAAAGCATAACGGTCTCCCTCCCATGTGTAAGGAAAAAAATTATTTCCACAGCATCTTTATGACAGAATCAGCCCATCATCATTCAATTAAATGCTGAAATTACCAATCAGGACTCCTACCCCCAGCAAGTCACGTAATGGTCAGAAAAGGTGTTAGACACTTAATTCTCCTGGATTTGGAAATTTTTTAGCTACATATTCATAAAGCCTGCTATGATCCTCTTCATTTTGTACATTAAGAGTGATATGAAATACAATACAGTAAGATGATAGAAACCCTGAAGGGAAATAACTTAGAACAAACAACAGGAATTATTTTAATATGATATATAATTAGCTTGCAATATATCATGAGCAGTTTGTTAAAGTTTCCTGACTTGTAGGCACTGCTGCAGAGTGCTGCACTGAGATTTATTAAAAACCCCTGCATTTCAGTAGATGCAAAGTGCAAGACCCGTGACACATGTAACAATGTTACTATTAATACCTTTAATAACCACATTACTATGCACATTGTTAGTTCCAAATTCACACACATGTACATGTCATATGTTCAAAGACCACTGAACGTCAGGAATCTCATTTACAGGCTCTCTAAGAAAGGAATGTGTGCTTGTGGTAGTGACAGTTTGTTGAATCCTGCCACAGAGAGAACTGTAAGTGGTGATGATAGAAACGCTCCTCTCAGAACATTTCACAACCCTGTGTTCTGGTATTTTTTTATCTTTGCTGCAGTGAAAGCTTTGAATGCACAAACTGCACATAGAATCTACGTGAATGCTCAGGAGCAAATTCCAAATTCTGCCCAGTGAGGCAGGATCTTAATGGTGTGGCAACATGATCAATCTTTTAATTCGCTACAGCCTGAACGGAAACTGAGTCCAAGCAAAAGGTCAGAACAGGCATTTTATATTCTCTGTTAAAGGAGAGGAGGGAAAAAATGTCTTTGAGGAGTAAAGTAAGTAGCTAATGAGACACAGCACCGACAGCTGGAATTTAATAAGTATCCACTTCACAAGGAAAATTGCTCTTAGTAATTAAATACAGGTATCATACAAAGCTTCTGCTTAGAGCTAGACTTCAAAATCCTTCTGTCAGTAGGACTGAAGAGGTTTTACATACCAGGTAATATAAGGGTGAGTTTGCCTGGGAGGCTAGTCCTAAATGAAGAGGGTTAATTGCATAAAATTCACAGTCATGTCAGTGGTAAATAATTCCAAAGGGACTTGTTCAGACAGTAGCCTGGCATTACTGAAAAACAGACCTCAACTAAAAAGACCTGTTATAAAGTCCACCAAAACCTGAGACACATAAAAAGTTTATTGGTCATTGCAGAAATAAAATGCAAACAAGATCTTTTTAGGGGGATCCAAAATTCTTTATGCTCCAGGTCTGCAGGACCATAAAACTCTACCTGAGAAAATTTTAAACAATCTTCTAATTAATCATAGGATTTTATAGCCTCTCACAAGCTGTAAGTAAAACATTAACAAGGTAGGAGGAAGTCCTCTTTGTACTAGGCATGATTCCAAACCCCACTGACATATCCCATTAGACAGGCTAGATTAGAATGTAACATCAAACAGATAATAACGGATAGTAGCAGACAGAATTGTGTTTCATTGAGGGGACTGCATTCCCACAAATGAAGGTAAAAGTCTCTAAACTACTGGGAGCCTCTGAGAGACCAGAGTCTGACTGGTTTTCTGTAATTTGAGACATCACCATCAAAATATGACCATGTAATATATCCTTAAACAATAAAACTCTTATCCCTGAAAAGAACACTGCTGGTATCACAAGAAAACCCAGTTAAAGTATGTAGATGGTTGAATATTTTTACCAACCGAATCCAATAGCTTTGCATTTACTCTGGAATGCATAACACAACCACACAGCTGTATTTACTTCAGTGTAAAAGAGCACTGACTCTGCAATACGTGTTTTAACCTACCTCATAGTACATAGGCCCATCCTTAACCTTTTTTCCCTTTTGACTCCCACATTCTGTGATCTGCAAGTAAATAAAGCATTCTACTGTGAGAAGATTTTATGTTTACATAGATTATTTTGCTCATTATTCCCTTTTGCAAACACTACACTTAAACTCCAAAACGGTGAGGAATCATCTTATGGTACCCCTGCACCTTAGGGAGGGAGTTTTTGTGATCGGCACCTTGAAGAAAAGTCTGTAACAAAACTTCATTGCAAAACTTCATTACAGGGAGCAGAGCAGCTTATACAGTAAGCTTTCCTTTTTCCAATTTTTACTCCTATGAATTAGGGCAATGCTGGTGAAAGGTGTAGAGAGTAAGTCATATGAGGAGCAGTTGAGGGAGCTGGAGAAATCCTTTTCTCAGTGGAGACCTTATTGCTCTCTGTAACTATCTGAAAGGAGGTTTTAGCAAGGTGGAGGTTTGACTCTTCTCCCAGGTAACCAGCGACAGAACAAGAGGAAACGGCCTCAAGTTGTGCTAGGGGAGGTTTGGGTTGGACATCAGGAAGAATTTCTTCACTGAAAGGGGTGTCAAGCATTGGAATGGACTGCCCAGGGAGATAGTGGAGTCACCATCCCTGGAAGTGTTCAAGAAACGACTGGATGTGGCACTCAGTGTCATTGCCTAGCTGGTGAGGTGGTGTTTGGTCAAAGGCTGGACTCAATAACCTTGGAGGTCTTTTACAACCTTAGTGATTCTGTGAATTAGTGTAATTTTTGAAACTTCCACAGAGTAATTTATCATTACCACAGGCCAAAGAAGGCACTACCTAGAAGTGAGATCTACAGTTTGGTTTGTTATTAAAAGTTACTTTCTTGGTGTACCTGTCTGAAAATGTCTTCATGGGTTATTACGCTGAAGAGTTTTCGCTGTGGCACCCGCACAGCCATAGACAGGGCCTGAATGTGGATTTCATCCTCCATCTTGGTCCCAACAACGAAAGCGATGCTAGGCTTCCAGTCCTCCTACGTTCCAAAATAAAAATTTTAAGGTATTAAAATTCAAGCAAACAAAAGTACTTCTCTGCAGTTTCAAAGAGTAATTCTGTAGAGGTGGCTTTGTGTCCCTTGAAGACATACTAAACATCACTGTATTAATCACACTGAAATAAATTGTATACAACCTGAAAAAGCACATACTACTTTGTCCCAATGCTTTCTGCCATCAGGTGGCAGCATTATGCTATGGAAAACACAAATGCCTACAAACAGCCTCTACAAACCTCCCCCCAGGAGAAAGCTGCTTTAGCATCACGCAAAGATGCACTAGCTTTTAAATGGCATTTGCAGATTTGACAGCTTAGCAAACAAGAAGTGAATTTTGAATATATTTAGTATTGTGATTATTTGCTGTAGACAAAAATAAACAAATTTCAGCTCCTTCATCCTGGGAATTAGATAATGCCCAGATACCACTTTCTGAAAATCGCAGCATTATTTGTATGATATTTTATGAGGGTATATTTGTGCACAGAACTGTTGTTACGTGGTTCCACTAAGCATACTGAACCAAGAAAAATTACTTCTCAATGGCAAGCTGTATTTCACTACAATACTGACAAATGAAAAACACTAGCAGTTTCCAAATATTTGCAGTAACATACACATATTTTAATGGAAAGAAATATGTTTTCAGCGTTAAAGAAATGTGGAACAAGAGAAGATTGGAACATGTTATTTAGCGATATATATACACAAAAGCTTAAAAATCATGTCATTTAAGCAACTTTTACTGGTTAATCTTCTTTCACATTTCTGTTCTAACCTACTGGAATCCCTTTCACAAAGTGAGTAACACATCTTGCTCCAGAGTATTCTTTATTGACATCAGTGGTGGCTGAACCATAAGCACTTCTAATGGTAGTGCTGTACACTCTTCATGAATCATGAAATTAATTTTTTTTCAATGCACATCTGCATATGTAAACTGCAAGGTTATCAATACAGCTGCATAAAGGTATAAACATGGAGAGGGCTTCAGTCAGAGCAAGGAAGCCCCCAGGACCAGGTTAAGCAGAGTCACATACCAGTTCACTGTGCCTCATAGCAAAGAAAGATTTTAAGGACAAATTTAAGAGAGGGTGGTAACTTTAGGATATTGATGAAAATATTTTTGTATGTTTATATTATGTATGAAGTTGTGCAGAAGAGGAACAAAACCTGAGTTTATAGTGAAGCGAGGAAAAGAATCGTTCTAAGAAAAAAAGGTATAAAAGGTAAAAGAAATTTCTTTTTCCAGTTTCCAGTCACAAGTGTGGTAAGCTTTAAGAGAAGTGGTGGAACTCAGACGAGGAGCAAGAGAGTGGAAATGGAAGGAGAAATTAGGGAAAACTGTGGCCAAGGGGTGGAAAAATCAAGAGACAGGACTATAGGGAAGACAGGTTTCAGAGACTTTGTTGCAGTGTAATATTAATCAGTGCTAAGCAGGTTTAAATTGTAGGCACCAAGATACCAGCACATTTTAAGAGGGAACTGAAGAAGGCCTAAGACAGAGGTTTAAGGACTTTCTGATAGAAATTTCTTTGCATATCTGAAGAACAGCAGGAAGTTGTGGGAGTGAACTCTGTATTCCTGCTGGACCATGCTCACCTAGCATCCTAAGTAGAACCTGACATTCCTGACTCCTGCTGCTCTTGTGCTGTCACCATCTGTCTGTGAGACTGACTAGACTTTGTTACCCTCTCTTAGCAATCCTTAGTGAAGTGGACAGTGTAGTGATATTAGTTCCTACATTAGCTCATGTCACAGGTGAGTGGTTGTTCTAGAGACTCCTTCTCTGCTGGTGAGCCCTGGGAGCACCAGGGTACTGCCACATGAGGACATTTCAATCTCAGTTCTGAGAGACTGAAATGTATAATGTATAATTTTCTAAATTATACATTTGCACACAAACATGGGCACCTAAATCCTCTCTGTTCAAAGAAAGGTAAAGTTTTTCTGTCCAACTCTTGGCAACTATACAGTGATAACTTTGATGATACTAGTGGACTATCCAGAGCTCTTTTGTAGAGCTGTGCACTGGTAGCTCTCTTTCAACTTTAGGCAGGAGGAGTTACAGTCCCCTCATGGGCCATTGCTCCTTCCACTTCTCCACTGAGCAGTGCCTGCTGCCCCAGGTCAGCTGGACACTCTCCTCTCATAAATTCCATGGTGTTTGCATGCTCCTAGAGCATCAGTGATGTTCTTGCACTCTCCAGCACTTTGTAATTCTAAAAACTTGAGGTTCACTTTGTGCTACAATAAAATGTCAAGAAGTTCGTGATGTTTGGAGCTGTACAGGCCCTTTTAGATGAGTTAACTGATTGTAGCAACCTGCAGTTTCACTTGGTGGCCAGGTCATCTTTCCATCTTTTTTTGTTTTTCTGAATATTCTGTGGTTAAAAAAATGAGACATACATATAATCACATTGTACCATACTCATGTGATGTTTCTTTGCTACCGTAAGAGTTTGACAAACTGTTTCCCACCATGCAAGTATATACTAGTTTGAAACTTATGTCAGCTGTGGCTTGCTTCCATCCCAAGCCATCAGTTACTCAGATTGCAAATATTTAGGCAGGCTTTTTTTCAGCTAAGAAAAGGATCAAGTGAAGAAGCTACTCCCCTAGCTCTCACCCTGTGTCTCCTTGTCCAGCTTATCTCCAGCTTCATTATCTGATACCACTTCCAGCTTTTTTCATCCTCAGATCCACTCCCCCCCCCAAACCCTTATTATCTAGCCCCTATAGTAATTCCCAGGCACTATCATAATTATGGTTGAGTGATGAGACTCTTCTTCACAAAGGCACTATAAAGCAAGAGGAAAGAAAATTTTCCTGATTTCCACTGTGGTGCCCACCTTCACAGCAACCTGTGACAAAGCACCAAAGCAAAACATAAGGGTAAGTCCTGCTTGTTCAAAATAAATTTTCTAGAAAAAAATAGGAATTACCTAAACAAAATTATCCAATCCAAAATTTTTTTTTTATCCAAACAGAAATTATCCTTCACTATGCCTCATTTTCCCCCCCCTATAAACGCTCTGCTTCAAAGAAACAAGCTGATAAAGCTTCTTCACAGAACAGCTATGAGAATATTTATAGCATATGCAAAACACTGTCTAATAGATTAAAAATAAAATACATGGAACGAGCCTCTACAAGATATCTGATCTGGTAGTGAAAATTATAACCCCCAATTTACTTAATTCTACAGAAGTATATGCAGCTGGATACAAGGTCTTTTGCACAAAAATTTAAACATTATTAGAGACAGTCTATACCTCCCTAGTGTAAAATGAAGAAAAAAAATTGCTCTTCTAAAAAAAGTGCAATACCTGGGAATTGGAGTTAGATAAATATCAGAAATAGCTACACACGCTTAACAGGGAATAATGATCCAGACTTCCCAGAGTCATTATTAGCATGCCATCTATTTCTAGACTGACCAATACTGAAGCCCTTAAAGGTCATTTTTTAGAAAAGCTGCACACTGAGAACAGCAACTGAAGTCAGTAAGAATAGTGAATGTGCAGTGTTAGTATACAGTTTAAGGTGTTTAACTGATTATACTCTTTTCTGACCTGAAAAATTAATATTTTTGCAATACTGTCTTTATATGATCAATCCTGCAACAGTACCCATAATGTTCAAGGCATTGAAAGGATAGAGAAGAAACAGACCCTGCTTCTACAGCTCACCACCTAAAATCACAACATAAAAATGAGAAGGAAAAGTAGTAAAATGTATATGGTTACTTTAAAAATATTTTCTCCCTCAATATACAACTCCGCCTCTACTTAGTTTAATTCTTTCAAATGTTATTGTAGAAGCGAGACATGAGAAAGGATCTGAAAGAGGATAGATTAGTGACCCTAAGGCTACCTCAAATGAGGTTCCTAGCCTAAAGAACTGGATAGAGAAAACCATAAAAAATAATTACTGGAAAAGCATGGAAACAGTCTAGAGAGGCTGCCATTGAGAATATAACAAGCACTACAAAGTGTGAACAAAGAAGACCAAAATGCAGGGAGTAGATATTCCACAGAATCAACAACATTGATTCAAATTTGAATCAAAAAAAATTGAAGCTGGAAATGTGGCATTGGTAACTGAATACTCCTTAAACAATCTGAAACAAGCTCCAGTTAAGGGGAGGCTTTCAATGGAAAACATCCAGTGACAATCATTGTCACAAATGACATTGTCCTCCTGGTTTTAAAACTCTTGAAATGCATCAATGTCTCTCTCGGTGTTAGAAATAACCATCTGTGTGGAAAACTTCTATGTCCCTCAGTCAAAGAGGCTCCAAGCCTAGCAGGATCCACCTAACTCTGAAAGCTCCATGTAAGTATCTAGCAGTTTTGCAAAATCCTTGTTTTCACAAAACACAGAAGGTGTCTTCTCCTGATTTTGTTCTCAAGCCTCTAATGTGTTCCTCTGTAATGTGATTTTTTTGAACTCTTAAAAGTACACATAGCCTACATATCTTATTCATCACAGCAGTATTTGAATAGCATAGGTATGTTATGAAAATCTCCAACTTCAATTCATATTGAAGAAAAAAGCAGATGTAGCACACCTTTTTTTTTTTTCTTTTTAAACATATCTTGTTTTTTTCTGCTTCATTGCCTAGACACAAAAGGGCAGCTGTTCTAGTGAAGAAATTTGAACAAGTCAGGCATACTGTTTATTTTTGCAGTACCAGTTTCTAGAGCTCTTTGGCCAGGAAAAGCATCAAGCACCCACCTCCCCCATTTCCAGGCAATCTGAGTATCTGTCATTTTGCATTGCCACTTATTCTTGTGGTACCTAATGTTGTGGGGTTTGCTGGTTGTTTTGTTTTGGTTTTTTTTAGGGGGAGGAGGAGTGTTGGTTTTGTTTATTTGTTTGTTTTTTTTCCTTAGACCAACAACTATAGGTTCATCTCACTACAGCAGAATTTCAAATTTGCCTGTAATGGCTGAAAAGAAACATCTGAAAACTCAAACTCCAAACATCTGAGAACCAAACAGCAAGTTCTTTAATCTCCTGAATTTAATATAATACTTCAGAAACAATGAGATTTATTAGTGATTTATGAACAATTAGAGCAATAACAACTCTAGCACTCTTTACTTTCAGCAATGAGGGAGCTTGTAAATCAGTAAATACTGCTGGCATTTCTGGCAAAGGTTGCTTATCGGCAGTTTTGTAGTCCTAACATAGTGACTGTGTAGGACATCACTGCTAAGAAATCTGCAAGTCCACTTTCATCGTCTGCTAAGTTACACATCCATTTTACTAATGGCTTCTGTTTTTAAGGGCCTGAGCTTTTGCTGTCTAACCTGGGCAGGTTAGAGAATATCAAAGCTCAACAGAATGTTAATTTTTCTCTGAAGAGGAAGCAGTATGAATAGCAATTAAAAGTGGTGCCATCCTATTCAGAACATTTTTAATGGTTTTACAAGATTTAAGTTCAGTTCAATTTTCAGGCCCTGGAATGCCAATAAAAAGAGAGAAATCACACAGGTGGAAAGTTAGCATAGAATATGGCTTCCAGTTGCTATATTATTAATAAGAACAAATAATAGATGACAGTTATTTCAATTAGGGGCTTATTTGCCCAGAATTCACTTTTCACTTAGCAAACATCGTTCTTCAGCTACTTAACACATGTAAAGTTTAAAACTATCCAAGAATCTTAATTTATATTTTGTAATTTAATTCTGTAGTGAACCCAATTAAAACAGATGATAAATATCTCAAGGCAAATAAAATTTGCAGCTCCATGTTCTTCTGCATAGCACATTAGAAACAAGAAAAATGTATATAAACTATAGTGTGAGGCTCTGGAAAATCCATATTTCCTCTGTACATGTTTTTATGTTGTGTGTTTGCCAGTTTTCACAGCGCATTTAGTAGAAGTAATTATTTGGTTAGTAAATACCATTTAAATCATATTTTTACTTAGCATAACCATCCATAAAAGTCTTAACAGCACTGGTAAAATGACTCTTTTTCATAGATGGAACTAATAAAATAGTGTAAGTCATAAACACACATTAAAATGTGAAATTTCATCACTCAGTCTATCTGGTACAATTTAAAACCAGTTCTAGTAAATTCCCTTTGACTCCACTAAAGGGAAAGAATATTTTCTAAAGTGATACGAGTAAAAGATTTAAAAATTTTTTACATATGAATTATTAGGAGAGACATTTGTTTACTTGTTAGGAGTTCCTGTCATCTCCCAGAGAGTTTCAGATTCCTATTGTATATCACATACAGCATTGAGGATGAGTAAGAAATAAGTTTTGTACACTTTGTCTGGTGATATCTACAACTCAAGTTGCTCAGCACTCTTTTACAGGATGCTTTTACATATTCAAGTTTAAACCTTGTATGCTATACGATTAGTGGGGTAGGGTGGGCAGAGGGAGGGATGGTGTGCTTAGACTATTTGCAGAACGAGATTGGACTTTTAAAAATCATGTTTATCCTCTAATAAAAAAACCCTATGTGATTAAGTAGTTAAGACATTCAATGGCCCCGTGTTCAAGAGGAAGAAATTAAATTTGGCAGCAGAGCCGTACTTGTGTCAAAGATGTGCTTTTACAGAGCATATTTATTTACATGAAGTACACCCACATTCTGCCACGCTCGATGAATCTTGATTCACACATGCCCAGAAGAGATTCACTGGCATTTGACACTTTTGCATCGAATATGGCCTTGCCTGTGACTATAAGAGCTGAGCAAGATTATTACTGCAGTAAGAAAATTTCAGTGGCTGCCCAGCACCTCAGAAGCCTGTGTTTAAGCTGGCTGCAGAAAAGAGACAGTTTTTCCCATGTTCCCAAGGCTTTGCCCGTGAAAAGCAACACAGAGAAAGTGAAATTACCTGAACTGGAACAGAAAGTAGTTGGGCAATACCAGAACTATGGAAAAAAGGAATCTTTATTCAGCCCCCATGGGTATAGGCATTACGATAATCTTTAATTAGGTGATCACATACTTTTTCCTACAAAATTCTTGCCCCACTCAGTGAACGTTCAACATTTTTTTTGCATCTGCCTCAATGTGTGGTCCTGAATAATAACAATTTTGACATTTCCTAAATTTTGAGCATTTTATTTCCTACCTTTAAAAATACTTCAATATAATGGTTTGCATTCAAGAAATGTAGTAAATTACGTGTAGAGGCAGCATAGTATACAAAGCACTTTGTTCACTGAATTCACTGCACAATATCCACAACCACAATAAACACCACCATAAAAAAAAATCACTAATTGGCACCTTGCTATTAAGCCAGGGAGAAAGGTCAGGAACTGAGTAGCTGATGGAGATTGAACCTCCAAAACATTATGCTTCAGGGAGGTTCTCCTAGGGTCGGGACAAGATTCACAAGCAAGAAAGGGCTCAAGCGCCTTTGAACTTTACTGAAAAATCTATGTTCTAAGGAAAAATGGGAAACAAGAATCTAAGCTGAGTAGCTTACTTCAAAAAGTGATCTTGTTTAGCTAAACTCGTACTTGGTAGTATGGTTACTACCAAGTAAAAGCAAAAGCAAGTAAATACTGAAGAGATTTTTTGGACATCTGTAGCATTTTTGGGAAACCAATCAGCCTGTTTAAAAGCCTCCTTCTGAATTCAGAGTTCCTCATATTTAACCAGAGCTGCTAGCATATTAAAAGAAAAAAAACCCTGAAAACACAAACCCACAGCAACTGAAACAAAAAACTGCTTCACGTTTTTAATAGGGCACAACAGGAATCCACAAAACAAGAAAGCCACGGAAGCAATTTGTCTCACTTGTAGAAGCAGTGCTAGATAAACACGTGAGATAAATATTATTGTTTGCTAAACTACCGCCCTATTTTGAAACCAAATTCTCTCTTGCAAGTCAAGATTTATGAGAATTACATTGCTTACACAGAACCTGGAAACCTAAATATGCCTTTAGATCCTCACACTCTGTAAAAGAAAGAAAAATAGAAAGAAAAAAAAAAGTGCCTTTTAGCTGCACACAGTCAGGCAGGAAAATTACAGCCTCACATTTTCAACGCTACAGTTAATGCTGTGTCAGCACCTCCATCAAACCTCGTTGTTCAGCAGTTTATAAAAAGTTCACTCCGAGCCGAAACTTGGCACCCAGGGCCCAGAAAGGAAAGTGCCGAGGAGAAGCAAATAAACCCGCTGTGCCGCCGCTCGGTGGCGGGGGGCAAAGGGGCAGGGGCGCAGCTCGGCCGCACATCGGGGCCACTCATGGCCCTCCACGGGGCGACCCCAGGCACCGCTGGGAGCCCCCGCCAGCCGCGCTGCGACCACCAGGGCAGGGCAGCGGCGAAGGGCCGCCTCCGGCCTGATCCCCCCTCCTTCCCACCGCGCCGCCGGCTCTGCCCCTCCGCTGCCTTCACCTCCTCGAAGGGGGCGGACACCAGCTCGGCCTCCCAGCTCGGGAGTGCGGAGGGTCGGCGCCCCGGAGAGTCGCGGGCGGACTTGGGCCGCTTGGGGCCCATGGCGGTGCGGGCGGGCGGCAGGAGGAGGCCCCGCTGGCCCCACGCGTCGCCCTGGCGACCGGTCCCGCGGGGCGGCGCCTGCCGGGCGGGAGAGCCCCGGTGCGCGGCGGGGGCATCGCTCCTGCGAGGAAAGGCTGAGAGAGCTGGGCCTGTCCAGCCTCGAGAAGAGGGGGCTGAGAGCGGACCTCATCAGTGTATATAAATATGTAAAGGGGTGGGGGTGTCGGCAGAATGGAGCCAGGCTCTTCTCGGTGGTGCCAGGTAATAAGAAAACAGGCAACGGACAGAAACTGATCCACAGGAAGTTTCACGTGGACATAAGAACTTTTTTACTGGATGGGTGTGCTGGAACAGATTGCCCAGAGGGGTTGTGGAATCTCCCTCACTGGAGATATTCCAGAACCGTCTGCACACAACCCTGTGCCATGTGCTCTAAGACAACCTTGATTACGCAGGGAGGTTGGACCAGATGACCCACAGTGGTCCCTTCCAACGTGACCGATTCTGTGGGATTTTTGCAGGGCTTTCAGGTGCTTTCCCTCATCATTTTTGAGATGGGCTGCCTGGAGGAGAGGCATTACTGAGGCTGTGTGGGAAGTGTTGGGTCTGCATATATTCACACAGCCACCAAGTGACATGTCACATCCCCAGGGCCACACAGCAGCACCCACTGCAGCTCTCCGTGTGCCTAGGGAGGAGGGCAAAGGAGTGATCTCCAGCCACGGTACTGGAGCATGACCTGAGCAGTGAGGTGGGGGGTCAGCCAGGTGTGGGCTGCCAGGCCTGCTCCCAGACCCAAGTGGCTCTCCAAATACTACCATATGTTACAGCACTGGGACCAGAAGGGGAGAGGGAGGCACAGTTGGGAGAAAGCAGGAGAGCTGCCAAGATAAAGAATTCATTACAGAGGAGTCATGTCGTGATCTCACACTGGAGACGAGTGAAATATTCTGTGTGATTTAACATTTGGTGAAAATACCCCAAACCACATGCTTCCCTTCCCCCACCCCCTTATACCGACCAGGGTTGCTCAGAGCCTCCAAATCTTTATTTTATTTTCGTCAGAGCTTAAAACCCTGCTGTGCAGCACATTACTGCTTTAGTCAGGATTTCGTTCTGGGATGATACTGACCTAGTGTGTGTGCTGTATAAAGCACCTTTTATTACCTGGGTTTAGTGAAGAAATAGGAATTCAATTTAATAGGGGATGTAACAGGCAAGTCATCATCTTAGTCTGCAGAAGGGTATCTTCCCTAGGTTTGCAGATAGTGATGCAGTTGATAACATGGAAAAGCATCACAGTAGATTTGCTAACACCCATAAACATTTTCCCCCACCCCGTTTCTTGGCTAATGTCCATTTTTTTTCCCTGAGTTTTTCTTTTGTTGCCCAGAAAAAAAATAAAAAATAAAGTCAGACTTCAGTTGTTCACAGAAAAAGGCAGTGTGACATTCCCTCCATATCCTTATTCTTCACTAAAATCTTGGATACACAACCTGTGCCTGCTGAGGTGCACTGAAAGAGTGTGGAAAGGAGGAACAGGGCAGGATCACCAGCTGATGTAGCAGAACAGTACAGAGGCTTGGGGCAGAATACACAGATAATGGTGTCAAATATCCTAATTATGAATCACACTTCAGATTTTTCGTCACTAAGTTTTCAGGACTGAATATAAGCTTCAGGGGGATTGATGGAAGGGGATTACCACACAGATCTGGATGGTATGGCAGGAAATACACACTAACGTGATGTCAGTGGGAGAGGACAAATGCTTAATTATACCCATACCTGGATGTGTATGCTCAGGATTGTTAGGAAAGTTAAAAACCAACAAGACTGATGCCAGCCTACAAATAGCTCTGAGAACAGAAACAATTGCAGTGAGAACCATGAACTGGCCTGTTTATGTCTATTGTGTGTTTGCTTGATACGTAAAAATTATGTGAAGGAAATTATTTTGTTCTGCTGTGTACTGCTGTAGTAAATGCATCTAGATAACTTGTTTATTGTTGGATACTGTAGCAGATAGCAAGTCAAGCTCTAGTAGAACAGCTGATACCAGTTCATTTAAAATTACTTCCACCACTCTCGCAAACAAAGGAGAGGAAGAAATTATTAACTATTACAAAGGGGCCTAGCATAGAAGGGCTAAATATATATAACCTAAAATGGGTTATCCAGCAGTGAAGCCAGCTGAAGATGTCTGTTTGGCTGCTTGTCCCTGTCCATTCCATTGTGCTGCCAAAGATGCTTGTAAGCCAAGCTGTAAACCAGATCACTGAAACCCCCTTGATTACATCCTACAACAGACAGACAAACCAAGAATACTGGGAAACTACAGCCTTTGTTTCCTCCAAATGGTCTGGACTGCAAAACACCCAGCTGCGTGTTTTGCAGCTGAGCCATTTGAAAATCTTCAACTTCCTTCTGGTAACTAAAAGATGAAGTTGCTGTAATCTTAAAACTTGTATTAGCAAAACTGAATGTAATTCAACTATACTGGTAAGCCACTGATGAGAAGAATAGGCAAATTTAGGATCCAGAGAGACAACACACAATGTGAGGTACCTTCTGAAAAAAAAAAAAAAAAAAGGAATGCGCAGATATAAGCTCAATATTTCCAAGTAATGAAATTAGGTCTACTATTAAAGCTTGATGACTTGGTGCATGACAAGAATATTTATGGCGAGATTTTCAGGGAGAGTGGCAACCTAAAATTCATAATCAGCCTTTTATTATCTGGCTTATTAAAAAACACCATTTGTAAAATACACATGTGGAGTATCCTAAGGCACGAATTTACAATAAAATGAAATTCTGAATAATAGTCAGTGTAAATAAAACATAGGTTACCTTTTCCTTGGAGAGGGGTTAACAAGCCTGTGTATTCTGAATTTGTACAGCAGAGTAAGAACGCATACATGCATACATGATTCATACTGTGGAGTAGCTAGACACAATAAATAACATGCTCCTGTGCCCACATTTTTAGTAATAATATAGAAGAAATGTTTAAAAATAAGGTATACTTTTTTACCTCCACCAGACAGAAGGAACATTAGTTGCCTTTTATTTTAGAGTGACCTAAAGAACATTTGCACTTACTTGTTATTCAGTAAAGTGTGGGGACTGTAAAGGCATTACTAGTTGTACATGTCATTTCTTCTCTACTTGATATTTCCTGAAAGACTACAGTTGACTAAGGAACTAGTAAAGGTTTTGGATCTTAATAATTAAAGCCTGATAGAGTGAGAGAGGAATTAAAAAAAAAAAAAAGCAAGCATGATTAAAATTAAGTGCTTATTTTAAATGCTTAAGAAATATTTGGGAAAAAAATGATCTTTTCAGTAAGAACCATCAAATTTTCACCCTCAGTTGAGAAGTAAGCAGAAAGAGTCCTCTTTGCTTGAGTTCTTAAGAACACACTTAATTGCTTTATGTTGCTTTCATAAGATCTAAATGTTTCTGAAATGGGGAGGCTTCCTGAATTATGGCTTCAGAAAGTAGTTTCCGTTTTACAAACTTTCAAGAAAGGTTGTCTAGAACAGCTAACATAGCCTTCAGCATATATGGAAAAAGCCCTTCATTTTTGTTATATTCCTAAAAGAAGATGAAAGGTATTAAAAAAAAAAAAAAAAAAAAGGTACACTTCTCCCACTCTCCCCTCCTCCCCACCCTGCACTAGAGAACATTGTTCAGTCCTTTTTCCCATCAGAAAGTACAAAGAGGAAGAACATAAAACTCATTTTGCTTTCTTTTCCAGTTTCATAACGCTGGAACAGCTTTTGCTGGGCTGGGAACAGCTTTTGCTTGAAGTTTGCAACCCCCCAAGACACAACCATCTCACAAGTTACACAGATTTGACAACTACAGCATGTGTTTCCACAGCCTGCCTGAACTCTCACATACTAAGTTGGATGTAGGAGCTCTTTGCCTACTGTTGCTGCTCTGGCCACCAAATGATTATTTATAATTTATTTCTTAGTCTCTAGATTCATTTATATAATAATTTGCATAAAGCTTCCCACATGGACTGCATTGGCCTTGTGGATGTGGACCAAATATCTGTTTTGGCTTTACAATCTAGAAAGCTTATTTCTACATCAGTAAATTATAAGTGCAGGTACCGTGAAAGGGACAAAGGTTACAGCGAGTGTAAATACATTAATACACTCCCCTTCTGAATATGGCATGGTGCACTTATAATTTTTCTAGTGCCAAAGATCAATAATTTCTTAATTAGACTGAATTCTAATCATAATGAAACAACAAAATTAACCCTTCTTCTCAGACTGTAATGAGCCTTCCTAATAAGATAAGGGTTGCTAGATGGTTGCTGAATTGTGAGAACATGCGGGATGTTTAGAGAGAAAGGGAACAGCTAAATAATAAACACAGTGCAATTCAGACAAGTCCATCCACCACATGGCAAGGCTTGCCCTCCAGTGCTGGGCCACTCTATGCACAAATCAATAGACTTAACCTATTTAAACCTGTCTGTCTAATAACATGGCCAAAAATCAAAGCAAGTGATAGATATTCCCTTCTTCCTCCAGCATTTAGTAAGTAGCTGGCCAATCATTGTTTTTTTCTTCACTCAGATATTTCCAGTCAAGCTGCATTATAAATGTATGTAGTCTCTGTTGTTTATCACAAGCATAATATACAGAACAGATCAAACTTTCTTTATATATACAGATAAGTTTACATTTAAAAGTCTCCACCAACTTTGTTTTACTGGAAAAAAAAAACAAACAACAAAACTTACAAGGCACAGTATTTAATTGCAGAAAAGATGCTTTCATAGTCTGCTCTCCCACACGCATACATGTGCAAGAAGAATGCTTTTTCCTCTCTATAGCCAATGGCATAAAGATTCCTGGCAAAGCTCAAAATGAAATCCATTATCATCTGTCAGTAAAATGACTTCCAAATTCCAGCTGGATGCTGTGCAATAGTCTCTTTAAAGAAAGACTCCCTTTGCATTTGCTGTTGTAGTTCTACTGTCTCTAGGTAACTGAATTTTGG